GTTATTGCTATTTTTTTAGTTGCACATTCAGCCAGCTGTTTAGACCAGATGTATGATTCTTATCGATCTATCGAATTCTTCCCAAGGATCCCAGCTAGGCAGATGTCAAGATTTGATAGGTTAAAAGTGTCACTGAAGAAGTATTTCTAACATTGATGTGCTATTGATGTTTTCAGATGTTTGTAACGAGAGAAATTGCAAAGCATCCTAAGGACTTTTGGATGGGACATAATTACTACAACGACAAATGGGAATGCAATGGCATAGAAACAAAAATTGCGTAAGTTGATCCATGTTATGGAGTCTATGCCTTGTTCTATAGAAACCCTGAAAGAAATTCCCCCTTGTATTCTGCTGAAAAACGGAATACGGGTGGCTCAGTGGCTAAGATGCTGAGCTTGTTGATCAGAAGGTCGGCAGTTTGGCAGCTCGAATCCCTAGTGCTACATAACAGAGTGAGCTCCCATGACTTGTCCCAGTTTCTGCCAACCTAACAGTTCGAAAGCATGTAAAAATGCAAGTAGAAAAATAGGAGCCACCTTTGGTGGGAAGGGAGCAGCGTTCCGTGCACCTTCAGGCGTTGAGTCATGCCGGCCACATGACCACGGAAACGTCTTTGGACAGCGCTGGCTCTTGAAACAGAGATGAGCACCGCCCCCTAGAGTCGGGAATGACTACCACATATGTGCGAGAGGAACCTTTACTTTTATCTTTACCATTCTGCTGAAAGCTCTACACACACATTCATCCTCATCAGGAATATACAATCTGCAGCACCAGGGTGGGACTATCTGAAAGGACACATTGGATTATGAGTGTCATGTGACAAAAAGGTAAAATTATTAAATAAACTCAACAGATAAAGCACAGAAAAGGAATAACAAATTAATTGGGCTCACCCATTGCTATGACATTGTATTTGGCTCCTTAAAATGTAGCCAGGATGGCAGGAAAAGTGCCTGCTCACTTTTATAGGCATTACACACATGTGAAAAAAGGAATAAGAGGCTTTTGATGATGTCCTTGTGGTGGACCTTCTTGACTTTTTTGACCTTCCCAGGGACACCTTTATCATCCGCTTTCCTCTCCCACAGATGAGTCTTTATCTTAATTGTGTGGGTGACTAACATATACTGTGTTTGACTTCCAGCTACTGGTCGGTGGCAACTGTAACCAATTACTTTAAAGACAGATGTACCATTCTGTTATCCCGCTGTTTGACCACACCAAACTGCTGGACTAATGTTGATTGCTCGCTAGATTACTTCACCATTTGTGAGAGGAAGCCAGATAACAAATGGCACGTAGAAAACGCAGCCCCTGTCAGCAAGCTGTAACTGAATTGGTACAACAGGCTTAAGCCCTTTGATATCCAATAGAAATACCGAAATGCCTGATGGAAGAGTTCAGCTTTTGGCATGTCCAAGACCAGGTCTCCAATGAGTGTCTTTGAGCTAAAGAAAATGACTTCCTTGTCCAACGCACAGACGTTATGTGTCTACCAAAACGAAAGGTGGGATGGCTCGGTCGTATCCTCCTTTCCACTGGAAATAAATTAACTTTGTAATTCGCCTTCTGTTTCCTTACTTGATCCTTCTGAAGCCCTGCTTGTTTTTCACACTCTGGCAATTTATACATTGCAAACCCACGGCGATTATCACTTTTGTCCCCCATGCCGTCATTCTGTTAAATGCATCAGTCCCACAGCACTGCCTGATGCCTAAGGATATTTGCCAAGATAGTAGGGCTGTATTGCTATTATCCTCCTTATCTTTCCTGTCGCCTATTACACAGTGATAGTCCTAAAACACCAATAGGAGTATTACCTACTCCTATTGGTATTTTATATTGCTGTGTTGGTTGTGTCTTACGATTTGTGATATATCACTGTTGTTTGCATGCACTCTGAGAAATTATGTTTTTATGTAAACTGCATGTGTGTAAACTGTACGTTTGCATTGTATGTTTCTAGAGAGCTTACTCACTGGAGAAAAAATTCCTTGTGGGTCCACTTGGCAATAAGAAATTCTGTTCCTGTTCCTGTACCATTCCATTCCATTCTTTAAGGAGATATACAATCCACATTGTNGAGAGAGAGAGAGAGAGAGAGAGAGAGAGAGAGAGATGGAGGGAGGGAGGGAGGGAGGGAGAGAGAGATGTATGAAATAAGAAATATATATGCTTGTTAAATGAAAACTACCTGTAGTGGGAAAATTTCAGTTTTAAAAAATGAGATGAGCCATGCCTGAGTAGGTAGAGGTTGTTGGTTCCATGGCATAATATACCGGATAGTATATTTTGCTATTATTGTTTTACATTTGTGAATGTTTGCTCTCTAATTGCTTCTCTTTTTGTAGCTGTTTTCACCCTGTTTATGTGAAGTAGGATTGTAAGCTGCTCATTCAGTGAATGCCTCGAGCAAGAGAGAAGCCTAGTTAAATAATTAATTATAAATAAAATAAAGGCTAATGTTGTTGAAAGCTGCTGCATCTAGTTTGTTTGTTTTTACTAATTCCAAATTAACACAGAGTACTTAACCTGGTACCAACCAGGTTAATAAAACTCATAAGAGAATTTGCAAACAAGTAGGAGATATTTGGATTGATGCAATGGCCTTGCTCATTTTGTACGCCAAAAGGACAGTTGCAGCTGAAATCTGACTGGAGTTTATTGTACGTGTTTTGTGAATCCAGTCTGTGTTTCTGTGCTTCCTGCTTTTTAACCATCCTTTCACTGTCTCATCTAATCAAATGAACATTGCAGCTTTGCCCTTCAAAGATCGACTCCTTGTGTGTACTGTTAAGCAGCCAAGACGGTGGAGCATATGTACAATTATGGACCTATTCTTACAGATTGCAGAATACTTGGAAACAGGCATTAAGCTGATTAATACATTATATTTTCAAATAAGAATGATGTTATCATTAATGTCCCATGATTAATTTCTTTTGGGAAGCTTATGGTCGGCCCTAAAAGGAAAAAAAAATCTCTTGAATTTCCTACATATGTTCAAAGGTCAAGCACTGTTACAACTCAACTGGGAACTTTTCCACATGCGCCCCCCCCCCCCTTTCCTGACTATTGAGATAATAGCTGTAACCTGTTAATCCATCCTAACTTCCTAACCTCAATTATAGCTTTTGAGATCGAGATGATTTAAAAAATTAGTCTTTTTCTACCTTTTCAACTGATAGGTCATTCCTCCCAAGGAAATGGGGCTGGAGAACATTTCAGCAGTAAATTAATAGCAACAATAATTACAGGTGACTTGTTAAAACTAGGAATATATATTCATCATTCCTCCATCCTTACACAAATGAATTTTCAATATTTTCCACCAATCTGAATGATCTTATATCTTCCTCACCACAGTACAGCTGAGGAAAACAACTCAAAAACTAGGAAAAGGATGTCCGAAAACCTTCACCACATGGTTTCCCTGTGATTTCCAACAAACAGTATTGTACAATAGAGGTGGTAGGAAAGGGGGGGGGGTCATACGTTCTTTTCTTTGGGGCACTTCAAACTCCTTCTGGTTCAGAAGATTTTGGAAACAGCCAATTTGCTCCCACATTAGAAGTTCAGTGGTGATCCAGAGAAGGAACCAAATGATACAGAGTTCTCCAGATTGTTGTGTTCTCAAATCAAGGAGTTTTATTACAACTAACTGTAACCTAAAGGGAAATCTGGTGAACTTCTTATATAACCACACTCCTCTCTGTTCTTTGGGATAACTAACCAAAGAGTAACCTGCTAGGGTTTTTTTCTTTTGACTCTTCCCAAGAGGTGAGTGGCCAGCAGAGATAGAGGCATGCTCCAGAATGAGCATTCTCCAGTACAGGAGGAAGAATCAGTCCCAGACAGATATCTATCAAATGGAAGTAAAATGGGTTAGTTTATTTCTTTTATTCTGGATGTGCTCAGAACCTCACCTGATTCATTTCACAATTGTTTTTTCCCCTTAAAGCCTAATCTTCTTTTTGCTTCAGCTTATCTGTTTTCCATTGTTTACACTTATGTTTTGAATCTTATTCTTTTTCTCTAATACTAGCACTGATCTGTTGTTGTGGGCCTTAATAAACTAAATATAATTTTACACAGAATTTTGGTGCCAATTTCTGACCTGGAGACGTGTATAATCGGGCAATATACCTCAGAGTGTTTACACCTCAACAGGTTATTTGTGAATTATTGGACCTAAACTAATTTTGTGTTTTTCACAGAAAGGAGAAATGGTTTTCCTCTTTTTGGTCTTGATTTTGAATCTATGGTTGAAGGGTTGGGAGAGAGGGATGATGGCAGTCATTGACAGTGAAAATAACTGTAGTCACATTCACTCTGGTCTTTCCTGTTTGAGTGACCCTAGCCCAGTGGATTGATTAAGAGTTGTACAAAAGGAGAAGCAACTTAGCACTACCAGAAGTATAATCTAGTCTCCTTTCTCCAGTTTGCTTGTATGCATTTGGATATAGCTCTAATCTCCCACGATCTCCTGGCAGTTTGCAACAATATATAAAGCCATAAATAATAATTCTAAAGAGACTCAGCCATTATGATAATAGTGTGCAACATTTTAACATGGTTTATTTAATTTGAATAAATCAACGAATAATAAATGTAAAATAATAATAATTAAAAGTGTAATTCCAACTTAATTCACAGATGTTATGGGGAGAGCTCTGTCTTTACCAACATAACCTTCTTGAAGTTTACCAAGAAGGGGACTAGATTGTATGATTTTTCGACAAGGCAAGTGTCAAAAGTAAACTATTTGGGTCTCAGCTACCCTTATCTCATAACAGTGGAAATCCACTACCCACCAGAACTTTCATCACCCGAAACATATCATATGGATCAATTCTGAAAAGAAAAGGATTATCTTATCAAGATAACCCACAGACATAGGCTTTTCACCATTTTGAATTTTATTTATTTATCAAATTTGTATAGCTGTCCACTTCATCAAAAGCAACTCTGGATGGCACAAAACTATCATAGAAAACCCACAAATATATATTTAAAAGTATATATACTGTTCTGTCCCCCCTTCACGGCTCTTACAAACGGCAAGACGAATAAACTTAAAAGGAACTTTCTTTATCAGTTCTCAGTTCAAACTGGCTTCGANCCCACCACTGATCTGAGTAGGACATGGCAATTTGGTGAGTTCCAGAATTCAATTTGTATATGTTCAGTAAGGCCAACTGTAGCCTTGATGAAGCAACGCAGGGTTGAAATTTTCATTACACATGTAAATCCAACCAGTCAACACATTGCTTGAAAGACAATCCAGTTCAACTAAGTCCTAATTCTGTATCTCATTTTATTTCTTATATGTATTATCTTATGTTTGCAATTTAAAAGAAAAGCATGCATTTTCATGAACATTGCTGTTAACACATGCTTTGTAAGACACACATGACTTTAATGTGTACTTTGTTCCACTTCATAGCTTGGGTAACTTTATGCATGGAAAATCTATGCCTGGTTGTTTTTGTAATTACATTAAGAAACAGAACTAATAATAGTTGAACTGGCCAAAAGTAGTAGCAGAAGTAGTAGCATTCATCTTTCTGGTGGCTTTGCTCCATAAAACAGTTCAGTTACAGCAGCTTGAACCATTGCATGTTTTAGATTTAGAAAATAATCCCTAGCAGTTTTCTGCCTTCCAAAAAGTTTGGACTACAATTGCCATAAGCTTCAACTTCAACTTCAACCAGCATGGTCAATGTCCATGTCCCAAGGCTGGGAAAGCAGGATTAGATTTTAGAAGTTCATCAACATTCGTATTGAAACTTAGTTGCTATTTATGGAATGCCAATAAGATATAAGTATAAAAGTATATTCCTGAATGCTTAAATCACCCATAAATATAAATCAATTACTTATTATTTCATTAAACTGAAGATGGAAAGAACTCATTCCTAGCTCTTTGTGTCTGCCTCCTGGGGTCTTAGCTAGCTTTCTCTGTCAAATTAAAAGAGAAGAAAAGATAAATAAACATGAGAAATTAAAATTGTCTAGGTGTGTGGAAAAGAAAAAAGAAAAGAGGGGGGGGGAGAGAAGTGGCAATAGATAGAAATGATGTTCTGCAATTATTACCAGACCTAAGAGAAACAAAATTACTTGATCATAAATTCAGGATAATCTGGTTTTCTTTATGAGTTTCCATTTTATTAATGAAAGGAAGGCAACACCTTAGTGTACCCGGATGAATTAAAATGCCTATTTCAAGAAGCAATCCTCCATAGGGGTCTTTAATAGAATCTGCAAGTGATTCTGAAGCCAGATAATTTAGCTGTATTGAAGGCAATATTAATAGCTAACCTCTTCACAT